TTACTTTTAACGAAATTTACAATACAACTGATCCAAATTATGCATTCGATTATTTTCATGAATTATTCATATTATTTTATAATTTATGTTTTCCATTTATATTAATAAAAATAACACTTCGGAAAAAACCTTCCTGGATATCGAAAGGTATAAAAATATGTGCAAAACAAAAAAAGAAAATTACTTTGGCAATATAGAAAACATCCGACTAATCACAATAGAAATTTGTTCAAATGTTACACAAAACGTTTAAAAAAATAATAAAGTTAGCATAAAGGCCACAGAATGACCATAAAATCAAAACAGCTTCAAACAAATCTAAAGCTACTTGGTCAATCATCAATTATAGTAACAATAATGTGATTAAAGAGGAAATCAGGCATATTAATAATAATGGGATTATCATTGATGACCCCAAAGATATCGCAGAGTTATTTAACAATTATTTCATAAGTGGAAATGACAGTAATCTAAGAACAATTAATGTTAACTGCAAATTACCGAATAATTATAACTCATTTTTTAGAACCCAACATCGAAATTAATAATAAAATTAATTCATTAAAGAATACAAATAGCACAGGTTATGATGACGTTAGCACAAAGGTATTAAAAAGTGTATCAACCATCATCTCACCAGTTTTATCCTACATCGTAAATTTAAGTATAGCCTCTGGAATATTCCCAAATAAATTAAAAAAAACGGTAGTTCAACCTGTATTTAAGAAAAATGATAAGAGTGATGTTGCAAATTATAGACCCATAGCACTCATACCGATATTCTCTAAAATTTTTGAAAAGGTAATAAGTCAAAACCTTAATGATTTCTTCGAAAAATATAAAATCTTCACAGAGAAACAGGTCGGATTTCGAAAAAATAAAAGTATAAATTTAGCTGTCTTTCAATTTCTACGTACTGTAATGTCAAGCCTTAATAATAATCACTTAGTATCTGCTCTATACATGGATTTAACTAAAGCTTTTGACTGTGTTAATCACAGTATCCTCTTAAGTAAATTAGAAGCGTACGGGATCCGAGGAAATATCCTTAATCTCCTAAAAACTTACCTAATAAATCGGAAACAATGTACACAAATTACGCGCATATGCTCAAAAACGTATAGACAAATAGTACATTCATCGTCATATCGTGAAGTGACTCAGGGAGTACCCCAGGGAAGTATTCTTGGTCCATTATTATTCCTTGTTTATATAAACGATTTACCAAATTATATAAATCAAGATATGGTACTATATGCAGACGATAGTACAGTGATGTTTACAAGCACAACCAAAAATAAAATGATATCTGACATAAATCAAACACTAGACATTATAATTCAATGGTTGTCAAATAATAATTTATTAATTAATCTAAATAAAACAAATTTAATGACATTCAGAAATATAAAAAATAATTTAATTAATCTTAATATATGCTACAACGGGAAAAAAATTAATGTAGTCGAAAATGCAAAATTTTTAGGCCTCAATCTCGATTCAAACTTAAAATGGAAATCTCAAGCAGAAGATATTTGTACTACTACCAGTTTTCATATGCACTGCATGCTTGGAACAATTGTGAATCAATCCGCGGTCATCACTGCGTACCACGGTTATAGAATCAGTGTTAAGGTATGGTGTCATTTTTTGGGGTAACTCTGTAGACAATGACATGATATTTAGAGCCCAAAAGAGATGTGTAAGGGCTATTGTAAAGTTAAAACAGACGGATAGTTGTAAACCATTTTTTATTAGTCTGAAACTGTTAACACTTCCATGTCTTTATATATATGAGGTAGCCGTCTTTGTTATTACGCATATTTCTTTATTTGAGTGCCTACACAGTAAACGTAATAATCATAAAATATGTTTTCCATCAAACAAAACAGCCCAATTTAACAACAGCATATTTTGTATGGCCCCTCGAATTTATAACCATTTACCATTACACATTTTGAGATGTTCCAACACTAATATTTTTAAAATACTATTGAAGCAATTTCTCGTTAATAGGGTTTACTACAGTGTGAAAGAATATCTCGAAGATAAATATGAAATTCAATAATTGACTAATATATGACAGTATAACTAAATTGACTTGACTTATATAATATTATCTAAATTGACATATCGCTATTAATTTTGATTTTGAACTCCAATTATAAATAAAGCATGTTTAAATAATTTAATATAAAACTAATAAAATGTAATGAATATTGCAAGCCAAATGGCGGAATATAGCTGTACTAAGTGTTTGTTCTCTAAGTGATAAACTATCACAATACCATCTGTATCAACCTATATTCGCAATAAATGATATAAATTGAATGAATGAATTAAGAAACAGACTACTTAGTGAAACGGAAGAGAGGCTAGCAAGTAAGAATATGCACAGTAAAAGCTCTGTTAACTCAATAATGTTCTTACCCACTGACCCATTAGAGATAAAGAAAATTGTATAACATATGAAGGACGCAAAAACACCGGGATGGGATAAGATTAGTACAAAGATCATAAAACAATCAATAGATATTCTCGTTGATCCAATATGTTATTTATGTAACCTGAGCCTGGAAACAGGGGGTTTTTCCAGTTGCTTTCAAAAAAGCCATTATAACCCCTATATTCTAAAGAGCAGAAAAACAATTAGCAAGCAATTATAGATCAATTGCACTTTTAAGCACGCTTTCTAAAATTCTGGAAAAAATAGTTAATATTAGACTTACGAAATTTCTTGACCAAAAAACCTCATTTCGTCTAATCAGTATGGCTTTAGGAAGAATAAATCTACAGAAGATGCTGTTTTAAGACTTACTACACCAGTGACAAACTATTAAGATAATAATTATCACTGTATTGGGGTCTTTTTAGACTTACGAAAGGCTTTTGATACTAGTATCAAATACTGTGTCACCGAGGATACTTCTGAAGCGAATGGATCGAATGGGTATATATAATGGGTATTAGCACCCCCGTTTTAAAACCTTAAAGGTGAATTAAAAAGGGAATATTTAATTATTTTAATTCAAGAGTGATTGCACCGAATATAAAATAAGAAAAAATCATTAACTATTTTTTTCTTCATACAAATTCAAGCTCTCTCTGGCCATCGCGTTAGAATTTTTTTTGAAAAATTTTAAAAATTTTGCTGCTCTATACACAGAATATATTCAGTAAAGCTTCGTGTATCTTGCCCAGTATACACCCTATTTCACCCTCTTAGGTAATGAATTTTTCAAAAACATTTATTAATATTATAAAAGGCAGCTACTGTCTGAATTTCAGATTTCTACGTCAAGAGGTTTTGGCTGTGCGTTAATATATGAGTCAGTCACTCAGGATATCCTAATTTTTAAATTTATACGTATATTGGAGCCTTAGTTCCACTCCATCGCTTCTTCAATACGAGCTGTATTGAAGTTGCGTAAGTCCCGCCGCACATGCATTTGGAGATCTCTCTGTTCAGTTGCCTTTATTATAATTTAATAATAATAATAACTTTTTATTGACACACTTATAATAAAAAGTTACATAATTCACAATTTTACAATTTGATTATATTTGGTACAGAATAAGAAATGTGCAAACGATGATCTTTGACTGTGCTAGGAAAGCCTGTGTTACAAGAGTCAATGCTCTTCATATATTTTATTGCACATAATATATTACTTACAGTGTACAAAAATTGTGTGTTAGATCTTGTGTAGTATGCACTCTTAAGTTGTGTGTGTGTGTGTGTGTGTGTGTGTGTGTGTGTGGCGTGTGTGTGCGTGTGCGCGTGTGCGCGTGTGCGTGTGTGCGCGTGTGTGCGTGTGCGCGTGTGTGCGAGTCATAAGGAATCCCACAAACAAAACTACTTGACGTAGAACATGATATTGAGACAATAGGTTTCTTTTATTACGTAGGCATCCACCAGGAAAATAAAATTCAACCCCTAGTTAAAGGCCAACCCTAAGAGGGTGAAATAGGGCGTTAAAATTTTATGAATGTTTTTATTTTACGGGACGATTGACTCGATTCTTACTGAAAGTAAGTTGAAAAAGTCCTATAAATGCCTAATAGGGAAACTTTATGTGTATTTCCCTCTTTAAATTGTGCAATTAAGTTAAAAAAAATAAAAACAAAAACATAAGATGATGACGATTGATGAAAGTAGGACAGATATAATAAAGGATAGAAAGTATGATGGAAAATATTAAAGTTCCAAGTACTAATCATTAAATAAATTTTAAATGAAAACAGCTGGTAAAATTAAAAAAAAATGTTTACAACCGACTTCAATATAAATATAATGAAAACATCATCAGTGTATTCGAAGTCAATTAAATACCCATTATTAAGGATAACTCAAAAACTACTAGTTAGATCTTGATAAAATTACTATGGGACCACACAAGAAGTACCACCATTAAAATAAAATAAGAATCACCAAAATCGGTTCATCCAGGAAAAAGTTCTGAGGTAACACACATAAAAACATATTGTCGAATTCAGTACCTCCTACTTTATGAAGTCGGTTAAAAAGTATTAAGCACAGCGAATATGAGGATGAATTTACTGGAATACAATGGGAATGATCGTTAGAGAGGTTTTCACTATCGAACAGGACTAAACAAACTCAAATTCTGCGATCATTATCACTCCAAATATGATAAAATTTACATGAGATAGCTTAACCTCTCAGTAGTATTTGGTCTCACAATAAACGTGGGTCATGTATGTTACAAGCACGGGGCGATAATCTTGTTTCATTATAAAATCATCAATAATTGTAAAGCACTAGGGTTGGAACGAAACACCCCACACGGATACATAAATTTCTCTCTAGGGCTGTTCCAACTCTACTTTATGAAAATCATATTTTTTTACGTACTTATGAAAACTTCATTGATTTTAATTTTTTTAGAGGTTTTAATCGATATAAATGAATTACAACATTTTATCTAGAGTGAAAATTTCCTTCAGAATATTTGATAGACATAAGACTATACAATAAACTATTCAATGTCAACATTTCCCTGTTCATGATCGTCTGAAACGCTATCATTATCATATTCTAAATGATCCTTGTCATCTATATTATCATATGACTCCGTAGCATTTATGCCACCTGAAACTCTATGACCTTCTGAATATTCTTGATTTTCAAGTTGATATTTGTTTAAAAATGGCCTGCTACGCAAAGTTGGCCGCACTACATTACTAACATTTGCGGTTGTGTTAATAAGTGAGTTTTTAATATCTAGTAACATGTCTTGTTTTAATTTGCGATATTTAGTCGTATACATAAAATCTCTAATATCGTATACGGTACCATTTAGCTGGGCTAACTCGATGTCTATATTAGATCGTGAAATATCTTTGTCAGTACACTTCTTAAATTTCAACAGCTCGATGTCACCCCTTGTTAAGCTAAGCCATTGTGACAAGATGAAGGCTTTAGTTGCTTGGAATATTTCCTTTAAATTACTCTGACTCAGATTTCGTAATATTGGAATATTGTGCACTAGCCACCTGAAAGAAATAAATTACTTTTATTAAAAATAAATTTTATTTCATTTAATAGCGAAAAACAATATGTATAAAATATATTGCGTAACAATATTTCAATATCACTACTAGCAAGAGTAAAAGAAAGAAAATACATTTGTTTGATATTTATTGTTATTATTATATACAGGGTTATTTTTAAAAGAGTATCCATATATTTAAGTATAAATATATAAATAATAATGTTATGGCGTTATTGCAGGTTTTGAAAATGTGAGGAAATAAGTCTTCTACTTTTATTTGAAATTATGACCGAGCGACTTTACGAATGTGTGCGTGCATAGTAAAATAGTAGGTTATATATACCACGCATTCTTAATTTAAAGGATGAAAAGGACGAAATGTTTGAGATTTTTATTAAAATAATTTTTCTTTACCACCTTGTTCGCCTATATTACTTATTATGAACTTGCAAATTTGCGTGTATATTTAAATTCTGTATAATTATATAAATGACGTTATTAAACTATTACTATTATACTCTTATATATTAAACTATTACTATTACATTCTATACTGTAATCATACTCTCTCTTACCACTACCCAGGCCGACATCTAGGAGCAGGCAAGAGGCATAAGGAGCAGAATGGGAGCTCTACCACAAAGTACATATAAAAATTCATATATTTACGGTTGATAATAACGAACGTCTGTGTACACCAGTGGCAAGTCGTTGTTATATCCACACCCAAAACCCCACGATTGAATGCCTAATAGGCGAGCATTAAGCACCACTGGGGCCCCGGGCACCGCTAAACACGGCGCTACTGGATTATCTTCCCTTGCCGTGCCTAAGCATAGCATCCCAGGTCGGAGAGCTGTCCCTTGCTGTAAAAGATGTTATGTTTCAGAGTTAACTTCTTGCAAGTTTCTCTATTTTTATAGGATAACGGTGACAAACGAGCACACAGTCCACCTGATGGTAGGTGTTTGCTGTGGCCCATAGACATCTATCCTCGATTATAAATCAAAATGCAGATGCGTTGTCACCCTTAAGGACTAAGGTGAAATGCACGAGGCATGCCTCATTTCCTGTAAAAAGAGCCTGCGGTTCGCTACACTCAATGTAATTAAATAAATACTTAATATAATCAATTTTCGCTATGTGTTTAGCATATGAGATTCCTTTGCATTATAATATAATCCCGTGAATGTCGTAAGTGGCTTTAGCAATAGCTTAGAGAATCTTGTTCATCTTAATTAATGTTGATCAGCTTCCAATAAATGTCGGTATAAGCATAGCGTATATATACGATACCTATCAGTATAAAAACAAAAGTCAAGCAAAAAAAGTGCCAAGGGTACAAAATATCTGGTATTTGGTTATCTTAAATAAAACCCTAGTATGCAGCTGACTATTATTCATTAGCATTGAAAAAGACAAGAGCAAGTGATATATGTCAGTTAACACGCACAAGTACTAATAGTTAGTACTGGTACAAGCTAATGCACATCTTATGAATAAGGCATTATCTGCGTACATCTCTCTTTATCTCAGGAAATGTTGATGTTCGACAGTAGACTTATTTCAAGCCTTTAAGAACAAAGGAGCAGGGAAACTACTTAGCCTGTTAGCTCACGAGGCCACGCGTAATATGACACTCCCGTTCGCTCGCGACCTTTTTTGGCGGGAAAATTTGCAAATTAGCAAATTTTTTGCTATATTGCAAATTTTGCTATATTTTCACTTTGAGACAATATTTATGGATAAAACTTACAGGAATTCTTGTTGAATGTATAAACTATTGAATAAAATTATTTTGGTTGTTAGAAATTATAATAAAATTCATAAATTACCCTTTATAGCATAAGTAGTAGTATATACTTCACTTTTAGTGCCAAAATTACTACTAATTTGAATTCTACACTTTTGTTTTTGGAGAAATTTATATGAAAATGTTTGGAAACATGTATATTTTTATGTTTTATGTGTTTCCATTCGTTACTCATACCAAAATATTAAAATATTATAAAAATTAAAAAAAAAATAATATTTTATCTGTATGACATTTCGAACAATATTTCTAAAATATGTTTGTGTGAATTTGAAATAAATACAACGTCATGTTATTTGAAATATATACGAAAACTATTTTTACTTACATTTTACACTAAAAATAAATGAGAATTTGAAAAATAACACATTTATAACTCACCTGCCAAAACGGGCTTTCCGGAATTTGAAGTACTTTTTGGCAATTTACTTTTCACTTTTTTATACCACAAATTACATATCTACGTGTTTACTATATTACAAGGAATATAAAAAAGTATAATACTTTCGTTTTTAGTCCAGACACAAATATAAAATTCTATAAAAAAAGATGGAGCACCTTCAACAAAGTGACACGTGGAACGCCGGAAGTTCAGAGTGATTTCTTTTTTTTTTTTTCTAAGAAACATTGCCAGGTTATGGTTTAAAATAAAAGAGCATATCTTTGTCTTTGATACTATTATCTACTGCATAGTGTCTTTGGTTTTGTTTTAATTAAAAAAATTATTTTTCAAAGGGTAGTACTTGTGGTACACATGTGTATCTTGATCGAGCGAGCGTACGATGTTTATGTTTGGTACACATGTGTATGCTAATCGAGTTAATGTTTATCCATAATAATTTTAACTATATATAAATAATTTCTTATAAATAATTTTATCCATAAAATATTATAAGTAGAATTATAATATTTTATAAAAAAAAATATTCTATTATATTAATTAAAGCCAAATTTATGCTTTTTAGTATATTTGTTCGACTGTCTGTATGTTTATGTTATATTTTCATTTATTTAGAAGTTTATTTTCATAATGGCTCCTAATGTTTGAATAATTAATTATTAATGGTGAAAAATAATCTCAACCAAAGCATCTGTGACTTATATAAAGACGACGTGATTTCCTATGAGTTCCGACATAACTTTAAAATTTATGAAGTCAACGCAAACTAAGACACGCTGCGGTTATAAAGCCTTAATATAAGTTTAGGTATATAGTTAGAAGTAAGATTGAAGTACTTCAACTATTGCAACAGAGTTCACTTCTAGTTTAATATAGTTCAACGAACAAAATAATAAGCTTTAATAGTGAGTACTAACAAATGGACGGATTTAGTCAGCTTCAAATAACGAATAAGGTCGCACTAAGCCTCATCCGTTAATGTGGAGAGTGGTCCGGCTCACAAAATTATTATTATTCCATGTCTGCTATGGTTCGATAGCACGCACTCTAGACTTGATCCGCCCCTTTATTCGAACCGAAATGGACGAGGATAGCTCTAAATTGCGTCAGTCATCTTTAAACCAACATGCAAACATTTCATGGCGCCTAATAGCGTTATTTCCGCAGTAAGTTGTAGCTCAGGTGGTTACTGCTCGCTGTAAATTTCACAGTATGCAAGCAAACCGGGTTCTATCCCCACCGGCACCAATGAAATTGTCAATTGCAATTTTAAGTGCTGATTTACCACGAGCTCGGCGCGGAAGGAAAATATCGTGTTTGAGAAATAATAAAAAATAATATTTCGAAGACATGTGAAGTTCGCCAATACGCATTGAGGCAGCGCGGCGAACAACATACGAGTATTGCCCTAAAACCCTCTCAGAAATAAGAGAAGGCCTATGCCCAGGAGTGGGACGTATATAGGCTTTAACTTTTTTTAACTTTAAGCGTACATGGTTTTTCTCTTCGCCCGTTCCGTATTATTCGATATTTTTTAAATCTCATACTACGGCGGCGACCTTCGAATAATCGGATAATATAAGCTGTGGTTAGTACTACTAGTATTCTCACAAAGAGACTATCTAATGCTTATTCAATAATACGGCAGTACGCTAAATTAAATGCTGAATATTTTTATTAGACAGATAATGAAGGCAAAACTGCGGTCTACAACCCATAAATAGAGCGTGAAACTTCATGCGGTCCACGGATGCGTTGTAACCTTTGAGGATGTAGATGGAATGCCTGTAACTAGTGGTTCTCTTATCGTTTAAATCGGAACCTTTCAGTAACTGCACTGCTGCTCTGCGGCAGAAATGAGGAGATGGTCTTAACCCAGACGTATTTCTTGACCAGTAGAGTAGCTTAACCACATATTATAATGATGATGCTGCTACTCATCGTAACTAGTTTCATATAACAGCATTTTTTTATTTGACTTTGAGTTTCGAATCTAGGGTTCACAGCGTAATACAGTGAAACCTGGTTAACCGGGATCTCAAAGGCCCTAGAACTTTTTATCACTTATAGATGATTTTCATTTACCCAGTTTCCCAAATATTAACATAACATAACAGAAAGGTTGTCTTGTTTATAGAGTGGGACTCACTATGAGAGGTCGAAATGTACCATTTATCATGTAAAGAGGTGGAAATGTTTATACAAAAGAAATGCATATTTTATGTTTCACAAATTTTATAAAAGAAAAGCAAAATTCAAGTCCAAGATATTCTGTTGGTCGTAATCGTTTGTTTTCTTTTTCCGTCAACTCACTGGAAACGTATCCTTATTTTGAATAATTGTATAAAAAGTTGACTTTGGTATATTAAACTTCGTGCACTGTTCGTCAAACGACTTTCCACTATTATAATCCAATAATAACGAATTTATCAGCGGCTGTTAGAGAATTATACTTTCGTTTCGACATGCTGTGCAATGTTATTCACTTGATTCTCGTACACACGTGCCATAATTTGTCTAAACCTGATAAATTGTCTCACTTATACGGGTTATTGAACTACGAAGTCCTAATTATAGAGCTAAACATAATAAAAATCTATGAAATCTAATTTCAGTTAACAAAGTTTGAAAATTCCCAGTAACAGAGGTATTTCAATGCGTAAGTGTAGGGACAGTAACAGAGGTTACTCACATATTCAGGGCCCACTTAACCAGGTTTCCCTGTAGATACCTGTAAAGGTAAAGTTACAGCCACACAAAAGACAACACAAGACTCTGCTCTCCCACTCAAATCGCCTCATTCGCGAGGCAGCTGCCTATGCAGCCCCTCTTCTTCACACTCGCTATAGTGTTCGCAGGCCGAGAAATTCTCTCTCGAAGCCCCCCCAATATGCTTTCAGCTGACCTGAACTGCCTCCTGGCGGCTCAGGCCGAGTCTGCTTAACATATCTCGTAATCTGCCCTAGTTAGGCACACTTCTAAGCGGCTACTAGCCGCTTGCGCCCTCCTTTCTACCAAGGAGGGTCGCGTCCGTTTACGGCTTAAAGATCTCTCGTCAGATCGTTAAGGCAATCCCCAAAAGGTGGGGTTTAGTGGGTAAAAGTCTCCACATAACCACGCAGCCGGCTGTGTAGTATGCTATGAGCATTCTCCACCTCCCTCCTCCGTTACCGGAGAGTTGCCCTTATTTGCTTCGCGCAAAAACAAAAAGACTCTGCTCTGTTTCGAATACGAAGATAGGCCTAGGCAAGTTAGTGTCCGCCGCACGACGACATCATTGTATATTGACGGATAGTCGGCGAACATTTGATTTCCTCACGATATATTGCTGAACACTTAAAATAGCAATAATTATCAATTTCATTGTTTTTGGTAGGGATCGAAACCAGAATGTCCGCGTACACATAATTTACGGCAAGCGCTTAACCGAGGATTTTCTACCATAATTCTACGCCGGCAAATAAAATATACTATGTACGTACATAATTTTATACGAAATTAAAAAGGAGTTTAACTATTTATCTCATCTTACACGTTCATATCCCTCGCAGTAATAGTTTGGTGACAACATTAAAAATGTCACTGTTCTCATCATTGGATCGATCTTTTCGCCAGGAAAGAACCTCGACGAACGCGGTAAGCAGAGTTCTTTTCCCTTAAAAGTACAAATGTTATATATACCCACACTTCTTTTTAATAGCTTATATAAATTATATATTATTATTAAGAGGAAATATGGATGGTCTTTTCTCCATATATATACTGTAGACTATTTTCTTTCTGGTTTATTACCTAGAAATGATTTTTTTACAGTAAAATAAATATCAATCAATTCTATGTCCCTATGTTATCCTGTTTGTTGACATTTTTTGTTACATTATCTTTATAAACATACAGACAGAGTGTACTTATATACATTTCATACGTGGTGGAGCCACGCTGCAGCTATATTATGGTTGTAGCACGAATGGCACGACCGGGTAAGGGCCACGCTCTCACAGAAGACCAGCGTAAAATAGCAGCTTAATACTGCTGTGTTTCGTATGGTGAGTGTAGAGATCCATCTTAGGCCTCAGAAGAGACAACGCATCTTAATTTGGTTCTTAATCGACGATAAATGTACTCTACTACCACTAATGTACACTTACCATCAGGTGGACTGTGTGCTCGTTTGTCACCAGTATTCTAAAAAAAAATTTTTCTTATTCAGTTTATGAAATATCTTTTGAATTGGTCCGATATTTGAGGAGGAAATGGTAGAGAGCCAAACCTCGAATTATGCCTTTTTACCACAGAGTAAAAAAAGAGTATAGAGAGAGAGACTTAGGCTATTCAGTCGTATCTGCAGTATAGTGCAGTTCGAGAACTAGCGCACTTCCACAAGAGCGACGGCGATAGTATCTTGAAATACCAAACCTTCAAGTCTTTTGGGCCGCATTTCCCCTTAAGGAATTATTTAAAAATAAAATATTTCTGTGTTAGTAGGTTTACTATTTCAGGCAAAGGCAAAGGGACATACACATTGTTTATTATTCACGTGCTCCTAATAAATCTCTATACTTAAATCGAATTTCGTAAAAATAATACAGGATTTTTATTATATAAAAAATACTAGCAACGCTATTAATATTATTATTATTCCCTTTAACCACTGATAAGCTTAAAATGCTTTTATTGCTTCACGACAGTAGTCGAATGACGGATTCGCATAGACTATTGTCGCTTAAGTATATATGTATATGATTTAAAGATAAACCGCATTTCACTTTTTTAATTCGCGTAGTGAGAAATCACCATTTTACACAAAAATGTTTCAATAATAATAAAGTGAAGAGCTGTAAGAATGATGGTTATGATGGTGATAATGGAGCCCTTCTCTTTGCGTGTGTGGCCATGGAAGGAAAAGGGGAGATCTCCCGCCGGGCAAGGTGTTCTGCCCGGGGAGCGGCCTACGCTCCGAGTAATAGTTCGGAGAAGTTCTATATATACTGTCTATGATTCGGAATGTTAATAGCGCGATTTAGGCTTCGGTGTGTTAGTGGCGCGACGACAGCGCCGCTACATCACCCCCCTGCTCAGACCGGAGGTCGATAGTGCAGCCTCATTGCTGACGAATGTGCAAGTGCCAGGAGATTGCCTTGTAGTCTGCGGTGAGTCGAGAAGAAGGCAAGTAATCTGCGAGAGTGCCGTGAGGCAGAGGCGAGCAGTGAGGCTCAGAGCCGTGCCGAACACTGTATAGCGCAGAGAGTAGCTTGAAGGAACAGGAAGCATTATTATTCCAGTGCTGCGATGAACCTTGTGAAGCTAGATGGCTTGCAGGATATGAAGACTGCAGGCGATATCTCCTCGGGAGCGAATGGGCGGGGTATTCTGTGACGATCATGAAGCTTGAAGATTTCGAAGGTTGTTGGTTGCGTTTTCAGATCACGTCGGGGTCACCACTGTAATAGTGGAGATGGACGGTCCACTATTAACTTAGTTTAACTAGGTTCCGAGTCGGTTTTAAGGTGGAGAAATGAAACGACTGTTTATGTAAGTCCGATTTAAGTATGAATATGGAATGAATGTGGAATGGAATGGGCGTATAACTGAAATATTAGTCTCGTACGAGTATGTAGGTACTACATAAGTTACGAGTATGTGTAGTCCGCAGTAGAATTTTAAAGTTATGAATAAGATACCGTTAAATCGCACCGTCCCCAGCCAGTGACGAACACTCTCTCATCGGTTAATGGAGTCGTTGGGGACACCAGTGCGATCGGCTTGACAGTCGTTCTAAAATAATTAACAATATTATTTATTAATAACTAAATGTGACTGATGATTTCGGAAAACTGTGATTCTGATTAAAGATTAAAGCCCCCTAACAACGTGAATGACCCATCTCCAGCAGTGGATTTTTGGAAGAAGAACTTCAATAAATAACATCGCCTACAAATATTAAAAGAGCTTTAGTACATCACAGCCTAAGCGCTTATTATAAAAACTAATAAAATAATATCCATTAAAGCTAAACTAAGCAGTAAACCATGCTCAACTTTTTGACCTTCACTCAAGCACTCATCTCTATTCTTTTATTATATATATTTCTTTAACAGCCCGATTGTATAAGTTCACACCTGAATATATATATACACCTGAAACTATAATTTTGGTTGTAAATGACTTTGAACGCATATGTGTACGTGAGTTTTCATACAATAAGCTTGGCATGATTTTTACTTGGTTGGGTCTTTCTTTTTTTCGAAAGTTTCGAAATAAAAATATTTAAGATTAGCGATCCGCCCGGCTTCGCGCGGGCTATTTCTGAATCTCAACAACAGTGCCACCTACCGGGTCTAACTGAGTTTTTCAACCATCCAGGGACTCGTATACACACAAATAATTCATCAAAATCGATCGAGCCGTTTTAAGTTTTTGTGAGACAAACTGACAGCAATTGATTTTTATATGAGAGAGATTATAAGTTTTCGATTTTCAAATTTATGAGTACATAATATATGTTGTCTTTACTATGATGTGTAACTTTGTAGTGGCGTGTCAATGTGTAAAGAATGTCGTATATCCACTCTGCTGCGGTTTTATTGCTGCAGTACGAAAGTTTCGGTTCGATGGGAGAGGACTACGCTTACGTACATTACTAGCGTAAAATAACACCATAAAGTTTCATATGTGAAGAGAATAAAAGATCTTTTTTACTGGTAACGCGGAACTCCGTCTTTGTCATCCAGTTTCTTGGTTATTGCGACCGCAGCATAGTGCTACATGCTCGTTAGTAATCCTTGCTTTTAGAGAAAGAATCCATACCGTTTCATTAAATTAATATAGTCAGAATCGACGTTACATTCAAAATAACAAGTAACAACAAGTTTGACTAAAATGGCGCACCAAGAAAATTATTTTTTAAGGATCAATAACGAAATATTTGTATGTTTGTATTCAAAATACAGAAAATATTATGAGAGAAAAGCAAACGTATAGCTGAACTCCTTCAGGCAAGATACAAGATACTATGCGAATCAGTGGTAGCATTGGATTTATAGATTTGCTGCTATAATTGGCCAAGATGAATATACTTATTTATTTACGAGTATCACATTCGAAGCCGTTTTAAGCTTATTTTATATAAAAAAACAATGTTATATATAACATTAACCCGCCACAGGAAAAAGGTCATGACAGTAAAATTTACGAAAAATATTCTACGTACTTGTAAACAAATTCTTCATATATACGAAGCAAAGCTAAATCAGCTGATAGCGTGTATGGATTGAAGTCCTCGTGGATTATTACTATTATAACAGTACTCAAAGTGGTACCACGATCGGAATAAGTTTCTCCAGCAACCACACCCAACTCATTGATCGGAACTCTGTGAACAAATAACAATTTACTATTTATCTGTAAGATTAAGTCATTTCATTCATTTCATTTTCCCCAATAGGAGTATGGAAATTACTCTCTGGGGCGTCTCAAAACATGTATATTTGACTTAATGCCTCAAGGCATTAAGTCCGCCCTTTGTATTCTTTTGTTAAGGATGCAATAAAGAATAAAATAAATAAATAAATAAATATTTAAAATTTTTGAGAAATAAAAGTATTTATTATTATGTGGGGTATCTATATAGTTTTCTCATCTGGTTGGGTTCTATAAATATATAATTATAAATTAAAATGAAAATATAAATATACATAAATATAATTAAAATAAAATAAATACAAAAATACATAAATAAATAAAAGCCCAACCAGATGGAAGCCCTCGGCAGGGGAGACCAAACGGCCGAGTGTTAGAAGGAAAGGGAAAGTAACCGGCGGACGATGCGGGCGGTATCGAGGAGCACCGCCTTCAGCATTTGAGCCCGGAGCGGTCCGTCATGGAGTCCGAGTCGCCTCAGATGACCCGAGAGGCTGACTGGGATTAGCCCATTCGCAGAGACGACTACAGGAATAATTTCGGCCGGCATACCACCCCACAAGTCGGTCACCTCGTGAGCCAGGTCCAGATATTTTGTTAGTTTATCCGTTTCGGCTTTCACGAGATTCTCGTCATACGGAATGGTAATGTTGACCAAAAATATCCTTGACTGTGCCCGGTCCATCAGCACAATATCAGGCTTATTCATTCGCAAGAATAGTCCTGTCCGTGATGATGGCCCGGTCCCAGTAGAGCCTGGCGCGGTCATTTTCGAGTACAGCTTCCGGCAAGTACTTGTAATACGGCAATTTCCGGTCCACGAGACCGTATTTCAGAGAGTGCTCCTGGTGTGGAATTCTGGCTACTAGGTTGGGCCTGTGCAAGTACTCAGAGTTAGAAAGCGCCGAACAACCGGAAATGACATGCCTAAGTGACTCCCCGGGATGGCGATAAGCTCGACAGACGTCGACAGTGCCATCCTTTAGGATGTATCTCCGATAGTTGTTGGTCTTAATAACCTGATCCTGTATTGCACAGACAAAACCCTCGGTTTCCCCGAAGAGGTCACCGAAACGTAGCCAGTTGAGGGAGGCGGCTGTATCTACGTGGGGCTCATGTAGAGCCGTGTAGTACCTCCCGTGGAGCTCCTTCTCCTTCCATACGGTCTACCGGGTCGGAAATGCTCTGTACTGCCGGGTCCTGCCATTGCTCGTTGGCTAAGGATAGAGGTGTAAGTCCTTTATCACTAGAAATGACGTCATTATAGAATGGATCATCCGATCTCGCCAGGAAGTAATCACGGAGGCTGCACAATTCGCGATTATGCATGGTGAGCGCGCTCAAGAAGCCACGCCCACCATACTTTCGCGGCAAGTACAGCCTCATTACCGACGATCTCGGATGATGCATCCTATGGGACGTCATTGTAGTGCGGACTTTTCTACCCAGGGCGTTTAGTTCAGTCTGACTCCACCTGAGTATGCCAAAGGTATACATGAGGACAGGCATGACCCAGCCGTTATATGCGTGTGTCTTATTCACACCGGACAAAAGGCTGTTAAGCTGTTTATTATTATTATTATTATTACGCTTTATACGCTGCTTTATATCACTATAGCTGTACGCTCCTTCTGTGTACATTAATCGTTTTAGTTTGGCCCACAAATAAAAGTCTAGAGGTGTTAGGTCTGGTGATCTCGCCGGCCTATTCGCTGGTCAACCACGACCTATCCGGTCACTGAATAGGCTCGTCAATGTTAGATACTCAACATTAGAATATTGCTACATATATACGATATTCACGCGGAAACATAAACAATACGACGGCGACGTGATGTCACGCCTTGTCTAACCAAAGGTAAATGAAATGAGAGTTGAAGGCTTTTCCCTTAAGCCTGTGACCGTGCGAAAGGACATTGACAAAGATGCATACTAAATTTATTGTTTGATTGCCTTTCTTTGCATGTTGTAGCTCGTTTTTATACACCTCGAGCGGCCGCCACTCAATGACACTGTGATACAGTTGCGTAGGCTGCAATATCTCGTGACATGCAATTTGTACACTTAGATTAATTGTTTCTGTCTTTAAATTTACTTGCCCTCTTTATAAAATAAGTGAATGATAAGTTTATCCACCCGAAGGTAAGGGGCTACGACAGTCCATGGACACCTGTAGACAACTTCAAACAACAGAGGTTATAGATGTGTCGTCACCTCTAAAAACTAAGATGACCCCAGTCTGTAATTATACTGGCTTTCTATATCATTCAGACCCAAACAGCAGTGCAAGCACTTATTTGGCGGCAGAATTAAAAAAAAATAATGTAACTATCACGGTGATGCAGCCGAAGATGCTAAAGCGCACTGACTTAGCTTAACAAAACCCTATTCACTCTTGCCTTGAAGCTATGTTTGGATTGAATGTAAATACAGAGCTGCTGGAATATTATTCCACTCCTTAGCTGTATATGTTATCAATGACGAAGTAAGTCGTTCGGTTTTCGATTAAATGTAGATCACAGATGATCCTGACACATCTACAAACATGATAAACTCAAAAATAACACAAAATTCATTATGCCAATATGTAATATTTCTATTTTATTTATATTTTAACTGCGTGACGATTAACTTTTATATAAATTATAAAAGAACAAAGTCAATTTTATTTTTGTCATAGATGTAATCAGTAAATATCATACATAAATTATGTAAAATATTTTCGTCAATCTTTATACTATAGTACAATAATGTTCACCATTATATCGATTGCAGTATGTACCGAAGTTTCACGCCTTTAACGCTTCGTGTTTTATGTGCTAGATGTAAAATTAAGATATCTATGGTGTTTTATTTGCGAGATTTAAAAAACATCGCTACGATGTTTTATGTGCTAGGTGTAAAATTAATATCTCCATAATGTTATATTCTACAAGTAAAATTAACACTTGCATGATGTTTTATTTGTGACACACATGTAAAAATAACATATGAACGATATTTTATGTGCGAGATATAACATTAATATATATTTATACATGCAATCAATACATACCTACTGCATATTTTCTGATTGGTTTCCCCCGCACATAAAATACTACATAAAATACAAACCATCATATAAACTATGATTTATGTGCCAGATGTAAAAATAACCTTTTATATACCTAATACTATTCTAAGTAAACCTATCTTATAGGGTTCTAGACCTTCCTGTAATAGTTGACATTGGTACATTGGTACATTTACGAGCAAATTTAGGAATGAATAATTTAAAAATTAAAAATTTTATATAAGAAAAAAATCACAAAAAACATTCTCTAATAGAAAATGTGGCAAAGTAATGTCTAATGGACAAATTATTTTTGAGTTTATTTGTTAGACATGAATTTGTCTATGATAGATTACACGATTGACAGGTAGTTGTGTCTTATTTCATATTTTTCAAAATGTGAATTTGAATATATAATGGGATACATTAAGCAACTAAAATGAGAGTTACGGATTTTTCTATACAAATAATAAATAAGTGGTAAAATTTCTATTTTTCTGTGTATTTTACTGTACAGATGTGTACCAAGGATGCAAGAGGAAACACAAAACGATGAGGAAAAGCGGCATATGTTAAGTATATGGAAAGCGGCATTAAATTTAACCACCAAACATATATTATGTATTCTTCTGTTATTCTATTTATGATCAAATAGAGTAGATTTATTTTACCGGAGAATACTACTTAATAAAAACAGTTGACGACCTCTTAAAAATTGTCTATCAATAAATCTGAAATTCTTTCTAAATTTTAAATACCCAAATACGTTTGCGTACTGGTACTGTGTTTATATGATATTTCCTATTCGATTTAAATATATCTATATTTAAAAACGAACGTATTTAAATATGGAAACTTACAATATGGGGAGGGAGAATTTCAATTATATAGTGCTTGCGTACTTTTTGTATATTTTTTTAAATTCTAAAGAACTCGGTCGCTCAAAACAAATAGAACTCACTCGTAAAGGGGAGAAGCAACGGTGATGACTATTTGTTTCGTGAGCAACGTTGCCGTTAAATAATGTGTGAATAGTCGACGAACGCTCACGATGTACGGATGTTCCTGGGCTGTCACACGAAACCCATTGAATATCTGCAGATATTTAAAACAAATTGATTACACTCTGAAAATACGTTTAAAGTTGTTTGTTTTTTCGTACATCAGGGAAGAAAATAAAAATTTATAAATCGTGTCAGATAAGAACGGTGTTAGAGACACGAACGTCAAATGCATCATACCGGAAAACCAACGATCCGTAACATTGCACAAATAGTGGACATGAATTCTAGAATCTATTTGCATACTTTTCATCAGTAAATTTTAGCAGTAATGTTTTCATCGTCAAGTTAATCATCTGTACAAATTTTAGATAGCGCAAAGTGAAAACCTTGTGTCTTACAAATTCACCTATTCCCTTTTTTATGTATAATGTCTACCTATACTTCTTATGGGTTGGCAAGTATTCCTCATTAGTCGCATATCCCGTCGCATATATCGTAGGTACATTTTGACATATTTATGAGTCGCAGAGGGTAGGGTAAGTGGCACCTCGCTATGAAAACTTTACAGCACCTCTTCGAGCCGGCCCTTCTCCTCGTTCCTCTTATTTCATTGTGATAGAGCTAAGTCTGGTTGATAAGGCGGACCGGTAAAAAAGGGAATCTGGTCAGGATCAGATTTTTCTTATGATTAATCTGTTTAATATTTTCATTAGTGGCTAAATCTCCTCACACAGCTGAACATAGGCCACCCCCCCCCCCCCAAGGAATGCCACAAAGCACGGTGCTGAGCCATCTCCATCCATCGATTTCCTGCATATCTTACCAGGTTTTCGATCCATCTAGTGGGGGTCCCATCCCTACACTTCGCCTGCCGGTACAAGGCTGCCACTCGAAAACCTTTTTTCCCCAACGATTATTGTTTCTTCGAGCTATGTGGCCGGCCCATGTCACTTCAATTTACTTATCCGTTGGGCTATGTCGGTTACTCTGGGGTCTTTCTGTCGTATTCCTAATACGGCCGGCAGTGAAGGACGGCCAGGCAAGATCCATAGGATAATAGATGGGAGAAATTTAATAGTAAACTTTTATAGGACTGATGAATAAGTAAAAATAAATTTTAAATAAGAACGAAAAGTTGAAAAAAAAACATTGCAACAAATCAATATACAATAAACTAAACTCGTTTTAAATTGCAATGCTCACATTTTTTCATAAAATGAGATTGCCGAGAAGGCTTACATTTTGGCATTACGCTAATTTAGGTATATTTTTCATTATTTAATAATGTTAAAGTATTTAAAAGTATACATCAATATTTAAATTATTACGCCGTAATCGATTGATGACTGAAGTCCGTAGTATAATGGTCTGAAAATAATGCCCCACACTCGCAGCCATCGAATTATAGAATAGCAAATCAATATATCAATAGCAATCGAAATATAGATCCAACAATAATATGATAGTATTTCTGTAAGACATTTTAAAGGAGAATGTTATAGTCCGCGCTATTCGTATTATTTAACCGTATCATTTCGTATTACGTTTTAAAATTCGTTAAAGTAATTTTTGTGCGGTTAAAACCGAGCGCAAGTTTTTTAAAACTAATCAAATATTACTTAGGAAACACAATAATTTTCAGCATCAGAACTTTCTACTACCTGTGCGCAAACCATAGATGTTTACGGTGTTGAATGTTCACTCTAGTATTTACGGTACCAGGTGTATGTCTCAAATGTGAATGAATAGTATATTCGAGTGTATTTACTAAAGATGAATTATTAGAAAGTAAAAGCCGACCACGTTAAACACATAAATATCAGGTGTGCTCAAACAGATTTCTTTGAAAAATAAACAACCTTTAGACCATCTAATTCTATTTAATGGAATCGTATTTGTCTGTCTAACTTTGGTCCACCTTCATGTATATCCAAAGTTATACTACTTTTCGGGCATTACTATGCATATTATACATATACATCACTATTTTTATAACCAAAATAAATTATTTGAAGTTGCGGACATTCTAAAAAAGAAAACTACAATACCTATATTGAAAACACTATTGATTTTTGTGTTACTATTACGGTGGCTATTTATTCTTAGTCTTTTAGAAAAAAAATTGCATAACTTATTATTAAGTATAAATGATTACTTACATTAGTTTTGTGTAAAAAATGTCTCATTAAATCTCTTCAAATGTTGAATATTCACGGAGTGCCATCCGTTAACTGCAGAACGAAACTCTGGTGACCGACTTATGACGCAAAATATGCAAAAATGCCTAATGCAAGTCTTAAAAATTAAAATCAGCAAGATTTGATGACGCTAAAAGATTAAAACCTACCTAGGGACAGACGAGGCAACATTTTCAAAGAGATGTTTTTTATTCGTGTAAACATTTTATCCTATACTTTTATTTCAGATTTTCGACAGTTTCGTTCCAGGTTTCAGCCCCACAACATCGCATAAATGTTATAAATTAATTACAGATAAAATTAAAAACGTACACATGTATGCGGCTAGGATAAACTTACTAACTTTTCGATTGAGAAGGGGTATATCCCCAACCTGAGGATATCCCGCACTTTGAAACAAATCTCCGTGACTATCCAAAGAAATGTTTTCATTGGACCTTTTCAATTGTTTTGTAGCATCGATGAGATTAAAATTGTATATAACTGTAACGTGTATAATATATGTCAATAAAATTTCTTTTACTTATTACAAAATATATATTGAGAATCGAGGAATCGAGTATTCTTAGGTACGCAGGGATTTGGAATGGGTTGAAAAAGTGGGAGCTTATGACCTACTTTAGACTTGTAATGATAATGCAAATAATATGCATTTTGATACTTAATCGATATAATTTTTTATAGAAGAGCGGGCGAACAGGCGCGCGGCTCACCTGATGGTAAGTGACTACCGCCACACATGAACAACTGCAACACCTGGGGAATTGCAGGTGGGTTGTCGGCCTCCGAATCATTGCTTAAACGAAATGTAAAGGCTTGTTCTAATATTTCAAAATTATTGATGTTAAGAAAACGGTAAACTTATTGGGGATTTCCGTTAAAGTTGTTGCATGTATATTAGATACAATAGCAAGTCAAGTTCTCACAGTAAGTTAATTATTTAATACCGCATCATCACCAAACAGCATGCTTCTAGCCTTTACGACCCAAATAAATCACGTAACAAGTGTACCAATACTAATGTTATAGATCCCATAAGATGCCGTGATACCAGGACGTAGATTTGCCACATTTTTGTACACATTGTGATATTTTTGACTTTCATAAAACACAAATTAATAAGAAGTGCTAGTTCATAAAATAATATGAAAAAATAACGGTTCCTACATTAAAGTTAGTTATACACCACGGCATTGGATAGGGAAGAGGAAACGTCTTTGCTCTAGTTTTTAAAATAAATTTAACGTTAGTAAAGGAAAGCAGAAAAAGTGATTGCCGGTTTAAGAAAATTTCCCTTAGCTATGCGTTATTAAAGTTGAAATTCGAAGAAAAGTGAGAAATATCCAATTGGATCAATAGATTTTAATTAAAATCATTGGCTTAGTAGAGTTTCTATAAAGTATGAACGAAAAATTGTAAGATTTGCCATGAAGAAAAACACAATTAAACTTTTCTAAAAACCTTGCTAACAGGCCTTATTTTACTACGGTAAGGTAATAATAAGGCCTACTGCTTTAACAACCTTAAATAATCGAACTATACGTAATATTTTTAATATTTGTGATCAATAATCACATGAATGCAGCAATTAAGATTTAACATTCCAGAAAATGTAAATTTCCTCACCTGACAAACAAATTAGTCGTGATTATAATTAGTGCGTCGGTTGTTTCTCGAGTTGAAATGAGTGTTAAGTTGAGTTGAGAGTTGGATTGAGTGTCCTCCCAACCAAGTATTAAGAAAAGCCAAATTTTAAAAAAATGACAACGGCATATTATTCAATTCCTCAAGATCAACAAATCATTAATCCACAAAGATAAAGATTATTAGATAAGAAGAGCCCTAACTGGAACTGTTGTCTTAAAAAGCACATGTCCATCCTGGGTCTAAGCAACTCAAGGATGTGTCGGTTCTGTTCCATAACGGAAGAAACGCCTCTACATATCCTAACTGATTGCGGACCCTTAATGCGCAAACGTAACACTCATCTGGGAAACTATCTATTCCGCCAAGAAGAAGTGAAATTGCTCACGGCTAAGCAACTCCTACTATTCATCATCATAGAGCTTCTCAGTGAACTATAGCCATAGCAGCGTTCACAATAGATCTTTTAGGTCGCAGTGATACTGGTATCTTTCCCTAGACCTGCATATTTGCGGGCACATAATAAAAAAAGTACGTAAGGTACCTATTACATTAATTGATATTTCATTTATACAATTTATCCTTAATTTCTGTTGTCAATATCAACTATAAGTAGAGTAAAGTTAAATTACAGCATTTAGTCTACCGCGCCGCTCCAATGCGTTTTTGGAAACACTACATTCATCACTCATCGAAATATTTTTTTTACACAGTGTGCAAAATTACGTATTGAAATCAGTTCAGTAGTTTGGGAGTTTATCGCGGACAAACAACGCGACACGTAATTATATATATATATATATATATATATATATATATTTTTTAATTACGTGTCACTGTTATGTCATATTCTTTCGCCTAGAACATCCCTTTCTAATTTTGTCGTTCACTTCTGCAACATAAATTTGCTTTGTCACTTGTTCCTCATTCAATTTTTGTACATGACCTCATTCAATTTTTGTACATGACCATACCACCGAAGCATTTCTTTCCTAATCTTGGTCACATCATCTTCCAATCACACTCTTATCAAACAATTTCTTACTCTGTCACTCAGATTCAGCTTTAACATACTCCTTAATGACTGTGGTTACGCGGAAATAATTTGTGTATTTTTAATTTTGTTCGAGGGTATTGCTTGCCAAGTGTCTGTCCTTCCTATAACCTCATATCTCCCTTCCGTACACACTGAAGGGGGAGGGGGGGGATTGCTTTATGTCAAAACTTGACCAGGATGAGCGTAATTATAAAGTTGAACGGGTAATCGTCGGTTCGTTTAAGCAACATTCGACAGACATTTAATTCAAACGATAATAATGTCAACGGTTGATTAGTATAGTATAGTTGTCATTGCATTTCATAAACAAACCGTATGGTTTAAAAGGTCATCACCATCATTATCATCATTTATTTATTTCGAGGATTTTTTGTAGAAAAGGGTGATAAATGAGCACACAGTCCACCTGATGGTAAGTGGATGCTGCTGCCCATAAACA